TGGCAGTCTGCCAGAACATTAATCAGAGTGAGGTACCTGCAATTTACACCCATCCCGTCAGGTGTGAGGTGTTCAACGGGAGCACTGTACGAGATGACACCGAGAGCAGTATTAGACGAGATTTGTGTCTCAGGCTTGGAGCTGAGAACGGTGCGACGCTTTGTCGTGTTATTAAAGTTACTGTCATAGTTTAGTGATTATATTACTATAAATGTGATATTCTATGAAGTCTTCGTGGTGGAACTTCTAAGATTTATTTTATCTATATCCATGGAAATTTTTTTTACACAAATCTCAACAATCAGTATTATAGTTGCACGCGCATCACTTTTTTTCGAAACAGTAATTACAATGAAATCGTTATTCTATCCATAAATGGACATTCTCAATGCTATGAATTATTTTGTCTATAAATATATAAGATAACGTCAGATAATGACGTAACAGTAATGCATTTAACACAAGGTCGTCTTAATTAACATCCGTTTTTCTCAATATTATGTTTAAAAGTCGTGAGTATCGTGCACAAGACTGAGGTAACAATAATTTTTAAGTAAGAATTACTAGCTACACTGGAATACATCGTAAATTCAATTGATCTCATTTCAACCTTTCAACGAGATAGCGCAGTGAACTAAAACAATTGAGTCATGATGATACATGATCAACAATTACGTCATTACACATAGAACACGAAAAGGGGCAATGTTAATTCAAAACAGAAATGTTACGGTGTTCTGTTTCAGAAATAAATAAATGTACGCTACTCCTCAAAGCTTTGAACTTAAAAATGGAACAGAAAATGTGATACTTTGAAGTATGATTTAATTAAATGGAAATGCTTTAATGAAGCTGCATAACACAGTTTGGTAATAAAACAGTATAATATACAACAAAGTTAAATTGTGTATTACATATCTTAGTCACAAAAGCGGTTACACACAAATATTAAGTTATAAATAACACAAAGATGTTTATAATACACTAAGTGTTACACATACAAAAACACAAGGGACACACAAAAAGCCACCCAAAACAGTCAAAACAAAAATAGAGGAAATTAAAAAAGTAAAACATCTGTAACCAATACCGAATCCGACCTAATTTTATACAAACAGGATGATAAAAAGCACAACCCTATGAGAAAGTAACAAAATAAAAAATACTCACATCCGGACCTTGAGCCATGTTTGAAATTAAACTAACCCCTAACGAGCAAAAGGATATGGAAGAATAACTAGACGAGAATGAACTATGGAATAATGAGTTATCTCACGTGGTCGGAAATCCTAATGATGGTGATGATAATTCCCATTGACGTGGGATACTTTCTAACGACTCTGTTAAGCTAATAAATGTGATTTCATACGTTTTATTAATATTACCTCATAAATGGAAATGACGAAGTAAAATATTGGAATTAAAGTAGAGTAAATCTACTTTAAATAGCAACTGTTTGTCAATTTCTCTCATTATTCAATCAACCCTTTATGAACTTGTCCGATTCGAAGAAAGCCCATCAAGTCATTGGTATTGGAAATTTTAATTAACCAATGTCATTTATCAACAAGTATTGGATTTGGTAATCAGTGTGGGCCATTCAAATTGAAAATCAAAATTTTCTTTATGAAGAATGAGAGTGATTAACGATGTAATGTCACCGGGACCTCCCCTCGTCAAGCCACAATGTTCAAGTCATGCTATATAATAGCAATATTGTAATGCTTTGGCGCGAAGTAAATTACCTTCCCTCCCATAATTAACAGTTATTACATAATACTTTAGAGTATTGGACGAAGAAATCATAACTGCAGACATTATGTCGGTCAATATGATCGATTTCGCTTTTAACTTGACAACTTAACAAAACAAATTAATTTACTTTCAATAATTGTAGCGGTAAATGCAACATGAAACATGCAGAGGCAGGTGTGATCTTATCGTTTTAGTGTATCGTAAGCGTTATACTTTTATGAAGATTCAACATGATTTGGGTTTATTATACAGGGTTCGAATCGGAAAGCACTCTTACAGAATTTAAAAGCGACATAAAAATATTTAAAACTTAGTGTTATGAGCACGCGCACTCAGCCGAACACATCCCTGCACAGGATATGGTAATGGTGGCAGAGAAATGGAAGTCGTCGAATGTTCAACTATTTTAGTATAAGTTCGTCGTAAGGGCGATTTATTTTCAGCTCAATTTCCTCTCCAGACGCACCGTCGGAGATGTGATACCACTTCCACCGAATAGATACGTCGCTAACTTGTGTTAATGTGGGTGTAAACGTAGGACGAATTTTACATGCGTATGTATTCTGTATGCTAGGCAAAACATGTTCATTGAATTGAGTAACGCACATCTGTATGTAAATGAAAACAAAAGTGGCAGTCACATGGACGAGCTTAATTTGGCTACGTAAGGTTACGATACAAACGTACTTTAAAGAATATCGGGCACGAAATGGAGGATTAAAGGTGGGATGAGATTAATTATATTAGACTCGGCTCGTCTTTGGCACTTTCAGTTAAGAGGTCCCTTCTTTGGGTGCGTTTCAAGGAATTAATTTTATAAATGAATCCGTCAAGATTCTTGAAGTAAATTAAGTTGGAATGAAACTCTGTTAGATGCTGTAATGAAGAAGCTTAACGTTGTCAGAGGCCTTTCTGAGGTCAGAATTTATTAATTTTTATTTTTTTTTATCAAGCTTTTATGTTACTTTTTTCTTGTTCGCAACTCTTGAAAGCTTATTGCGAATTTTACCTTTGTTATGGTTTTAATGTTGTTTGTTTGATAAAAGATGAAAGTTAATGTAATTTTCAAAGTTTTTATTTTAAAATTATGTAAGGCTACTAAGCGCTTATTTATGTTGTAAATTGTTTTAACAGCCATAATCGTTTCGTCGTAACAATTTGATACCATTTATTCATATCTACTTTCTGCGCTTTCTAAATCATCTCTTAAACCATCACTGCGATCAATTCTCCAACTACCTTCAATTATTGCAATTATAAAAACGAGTTTGAGCCTTCAGACTACATTTCACGAAAGTGTGAAGTGTTTAAGTCTAGTGAAATTCCCAAATTGTTGTTTTGGCTTGTAAATACACCATGACTTTAAAACATCTGCGTACTTGTGGGATTTAGTCGGGAGAGTAATTTTTCACCGTCAGATGTAAATTCACACAGCTGTCGGGCAGGTGGCTGGAACGTGCCCGTTATTGAACGACTACATCTTTATTGGGTTGTTTTGATTAACGAATGCATTTGTTTCAATTGTTGTTCCAGCTGTTTTTGTCATTTCACTAAATTCCAATTTATTTGGATTGCTTTTCTTACTGGATTTAGATGTTCATCATGTTGTCTACTGCGGTCTTTTAATTTGTACTACAGATTTATTTCTTCCATCCACATGTTTATTTTCTTATTCGACTGAAATTCTTATTTGAAATAAAATTTATATTAACTTACATATATATTTTGTGTTGTAATTTATTCAAAGCAGATTCTGTTTGTAGTACGTATATAATTATCCACGAGCCTCGTTTTAATAGTAACGTATTATTTCTGCAAGCTGAATATATATTTCAAGCTGGTTCGCATCTGTTATAATTTTCTTCAAACACGTATGCGTGTCCTATTAATATTCCTAAAACGACCTCAGTCATTATCCCGAGTTTAGTTCACTCGATTCGTTTTACCTAAGAACTGTTTAAGTTAACAATGTGTTTGTCGTACCAAGTAACAGCCAATAAGGTAACAAATGGAAGTATTGTATTACATTTAACAACTTACAAACTATGTTTAAGCTCGTTGCTACGTTCCACTGATGCGTAAAATTGTTATACTTTATTACTTTGCTTGTTGTCGTTTTGAGGAAACGTGTTATTATGAACAACAGTAGTACTACTTTCATCTGTAGTCTTTTGTTTCTATGTTTTTTCTTAAACACAACTAAAACCAGTTACTGCTTGTTCTTTTGAAATAAGTAAAGTAGAACTACTACTTCTTTAATTCTCATAGTGAAAGACAAAAGTTGATGAATAAGCACATCAGTCACACAGTATATTATAACTTTCGGATCGTAGACTACAATATCAAATACTATATTCATCAATGGTTACAATCCATGTACTCAATACCCGTGCCCCGAGTAAGGGTAGAGAAATTATGATAACACCTAGAGAGTCGATAGTTATCGCAGATACTGATGTCGACTATCCCACAGTTGTCAGTACTAAGTCCGCGCGAGCACAGGTTGCCGTAAAAGGCGACGGCCGTCTACGAGATACAGGCGATCATAATCGATGGAAAAACTCGGTCCTAAGAGCCGGACTTGACCTCTTTGGGACTTAGACACCCATTACTTCAAGTACAGCTTCTATACCTACAAACATCTTTGTATGAACATGCTTATTGTATTTCTTTTTTTGTTAATGTAAGTACTTTTGGGTGAAGAAACGTGACCCTTGGCAGTTTCTTTTGTGAGATTTTATCAGGCCCTTTAAAGCATAAAGTGCACAATAATGGATCTTAAATCTCAACTGTAAGCAAACTTAGTAATCGTAAGATAAAGAATCGTATGCTACACAGATCGGCCCCGGGATGCGCTTGCACATCTGCCTGCCCACGTGCCACCCTCGCCCGTGCAGGTTTCTCTTAAGCTTTTTTTGTTATATTCTCAACGAACGCATTCATCATTTACGGACAGATGCATGTGGTAATAACATGGTTACCTTCGGTAATTCATTCTTTAATTAAATTTCTTTCTCCCCTTTGTTTTGATTCCACTGCGAAGGCGTCATTCCGTTTGTTTATAATTAGAGTTCGTTCTTATTTTTAATGCTTGTATTCCATTAGGGTACCTCTGTTTGTCGGGCCAGTATCTGTCCTGAATTTGGGAACACATGTGCGGAACGATGTCTGTTTTTTGTCAGTCGACATCTGAGGTCTATTCCGTCACATGTGCGAAATTTATGTCCCTCGCCACCAGCAACAGGATGTTGGATATTGTAAGGATTCTTGATCTATTCTACTTCTGGCGTTTTAATAGTTTTATGAGTAAGTACAATGTGGCACCTAGATGCAACAAAGGGGAATGCCAATTTTAGGCCCAGAGCTGCACAACAAATTGGTTTCAGTAGAAAAATACCTTGTTATTTTACTCATGTCTTGCATATATTCATAAGTCTGTGCATGATGGGATATTTTTTCAAAAACATTAAATAGATATGAAAATGACTAATCTTAGGAAACATAAAAATATTTTCAAGATGTTGCCTTTACAAAAAAAAACTACCAGGAATGAATCGGAACAATAAGAGTGATATTATTTTTAATAAACAGAGATATTTTTCCGAAAAGAAAATGAATTAATGAATATCATGTAATGGAAACTAATATTATTTCCAGTAAAGAACAATTTTTTTGTGAAATAATAATATAATCGATCTATCGATTTTTTCTTCTTATGGCAGCATCAAGTCAACTTTTGACAAGCCGCCGGAAAAAGTTAATGTCAAAATCATTGTTTACATACGACTTGTGTATACTAATCGTGGTTTAAATTGACTACTTTCACTCATTAACTTTGAGGATTCTTCTATCCTTGACGACTACAGCCTGATTATGGATTCTGCTCCTGCTACTCATGACGACACTGGTGATAAATTGGATTTAGTATTAGACGCTTTGGCTTACGAACCCGGCATTCAGTCTGGACTTAGTATCGACAATGTTGATTTGGTATTACACCGTACACGCTTCGACCGACGACGAACCCGGCATTTACTCTGGACCTAGTTATTCACAACAGTCATCTACTGCTGTGAGTGGTGATCTACGTTGTTTATACTGCGGTTTGAATGTATCTAGAATTCGAAGACATACTTTGGAAATCACTGAAGTTCGAAATCTTATACAACGATGGATTAGCCAGGTAATTAATGATCATATATATTTAAAATCTCTTAGTACTTAATAGTATTTTAAAAGTACCTTATGTGCTGATTTTGTAACTGCTCTCATCTTTTCTTGTAGGTACAAGTGATAGTCTAGTGTGCCATGCATGTAGGACAAATGCTTGGAATGAAATGCGACATACAACAAGATTTGAGCCAATTATTGGCCATGTAAATGTATGTGTCATCACTGTGGCACATCATTTTTAAGCTAACAATCACATACATGGAATACAAACACTACTTGTGAAGCAGATTTTCAAAACATTACTGTTAATAATGAGATATAAGAGAATTCCCTGGTATAAATATAAATAAGTGATTTAATATTGATTGCTTGTGACACTTATTAACATAAGCAAGCTCGCTCATACTATGGCGAGCAAATGAGATTTACTGGGGCATACTGTATAGAAGTATGTACTAATAATAGTAATAGAACAATCACTATAATTGCACAAATCTGTTCACTGGTAAGGACCAGAATCGCTAGTCGTCATGTTCGTTGCAAAAAGCTGTATATCGGTTTTAGTTGGCACTGTTGACACAGGCCATGCAGCAGTAACTGTATTGGTGGCTGGCGTACTGTAGGATGCTATGCTTATGTCATGACCGTGATAATAATATGGTATTTAGGATGGAAAAGGCATCAAAATAATGTATTTCCACCCGCACAATTTGTTGATGATGTTTTACTCATATATGGTGATGATCAACAAGAATAAATATGTAAAACTAAAGGTGTTTTGTGTTATTTTACTCCCAGTTATTATGCTTTACACTTCCACACTATAAAATTAAAATAATTATTATTTTGATTTTTTAACGTTACTAGTGTTGATGAAATAATAAAACCTTTAATAACTTTGAAGTGCCAAGTATTTTTGATATAATTTCTTTTACCAATTGATTATTGGAATTACCCTCTATTATAATCATGAACTTTTATATGTGTGCACAGTGGGCCTAAATTACTATGGGGACTTGGCATTCCCCTTTATTGAATTTCACAAATGGATGAATTTATCGTACATTTATTAAATAAACATTAAAGAATTCGGATTAATGATTAGTACCTATGTAAACTACAAGCAAATATTTGCTACTCTGTCGAAAGCTTTGTTAGTGACTATTCAGAACTTGTTATAAAGGGCTTTTCATCTACAAATCGAGCCATGGGCATGCTTATAGCTTTGTTGTGTAACCTCTATGGCGGTGATTAAATCTCACCATTATTATTAACTGGCTCCATTCAAACACCCACTGTCGTTCTAGGCGGTTCGGAACTATGCCGTCCACCCACAGCGGCTGGTCCCGTAGGCGCACCACGGTCACACACACTAGCTTTTATTCATATATCGACTAACTCACTAGGTTCGATTGTTCGCGCTTACTCAAATTTACATTCGGAGAGTCAATGTCGCCTGACAGACACAAGGTCCGCCATTGTTTTGGCCGTTTTGGTGGTCCGGATGGAATATCGCCGCGTTCATTTGAATATTTTAATAAATAAACCCTGGCTCCTCTCCGAATCCTTTATCCCGTGCCAGATCTCCCGTGTGCTGCCACCACGTAATGTGTTGTACGAATGGGTCGTGCGTCGTGCAAGCCAAGATCATCAGATCATCCAGGTAAATAACAGCATACCAACAGTGACAGTGAACATATCCATAAGAACACATGCAAAAACTTATTGGAAGACTTTATTTACCATTAATTTTCATGTTACTATTCAAGAGGACCATCGGCTCGGTTTACAAAACTTTTAAATCTAAAAGTTTCGTCACTAAAAACACACTTTCATTGTTAACAAACGTCACAAACACTGCAAATAATCCAATCCACTAGTAATCGGAGAGCACTAAGTTTTATAACAAGTTGTTAAACACTCGTCGGTCGGAAAGTCGCACCACCGAAACGCGCGTCCGTCCTAGCGCTAAGCGATTGGTAGACTGGTGCGGCGGCAGCGGCGACCGGGCGACGCGACGCACGCGGTGCGGTGCGGCCCGGTGTTGCCGCGCGGTAGCTCCCCCCTTCCCGCGCTGTCGCCGAACCCGTGCACTGCACCCGACAAATCCATCGATGGCTCGATGGAATTGTCGTGACTCGAAACCTACCTTTGTATGAAATTTCTTTTCGTTTTTTACGCGGGGATTTCGTTTGAGCAAGTTATTATTTCACAGACCACGATGCGCTAGTGTAGCTGCGGAGTCCTTGCAAAGCCAGTTCAACTTTATAATAAACGGATTGTAAAATTTATTTACGCTACGATACGACCGTTATCTGACGTGTGGTGTTCGATGCAGCGACAGCAGCGTCGAGTGCATCGATAACGTTGTGACACAATCAAACACTCCAACACAATATAACACCGTGAAAGATGATCTCACTCGTAAATACAACACAGCACTCTATGCTAAGAGATAATAATGTTTTCCAGATGTAAATTTCAATAATATGACAGCGTGTACAAAGAGAGGCACACTCGTAAAATCCAATACTAGAAAGATGGATGAATTTCGATTACATTTCAAAGTTGAAAGGTCCATTCGATAAATCATGTCAGAGTTTGAATGGCGACTGACGATGACATAAATTATAACAAAATAATGTTATACAGCTATTGACTTACGTGTAAAACATCTAGGAGCTAATTTCACTTGATAAAGAGTAACTTTGCAAGGCCCCCGCGGCCTCTGTTGCCATTCAATGCATTATTTTAAATGAACCACCTTCGCAAAGATTGCTTCTCCAACATTACTCTTTCTTTTCATATGTAATAGAATCATAACGTATAAAGCTATCGTTTAAATTCATCTAATTAAATTTCCAAATGGATTTATTTCTAACTCATCTTTCGCGCCAAATCGAAATCTTTCCTTTGAGTAATTAGATACATAATCCCATCCCAACATACAGATCGGACAGAAGCGATAAATTGTAAAACTAGTTTGGGATCAGAGCCGTCTATCAGCTTGGGGCCCTGTACTTTTAGTTTTATTTTCTGAATAAGTTCTGGGAAGGTCGGACCTCAAGGACGTCTGACGGGTCACGATTCCAGTTTGCCCGTTATTATTAACATTATTTGATGGGAGCTAGACGTTGATATTAAAACTTTTGAGTTTTGTGTGGGATTAACAGAAACGAGTTCTAATTAGTTCAGCAAGTTGTGATTCGAAAATTTAACTTTGGCAATTTATTTTATTAAACTTGATTTTCAGATCAATCAAGTTTTAAGGGTGCCGGGTATCGAAGTTGCTCCATCTGGTAATCTGAACGAATCGAAAGAGGAGGTTCAGATTTAAGTGTTGGGTCTCATAATTAGGGATATCTCTTCGAAAACTGATAATTAGCTAATAAAACCGGTGCTGTTGGTCACTGCACTCGCACACTCGAAAGGGAATGAGATAAAATTTCAAGAAATAAAGATTGGATCGAACATTTTGCCAGTTGAGGCTACTTTCAAAATACATTATTGCAGTGCTACTTGTTAAAAACTTGGAAATAATTGTAAAATTTTCGTAATTCATCCAGTTGAACACTTGGAAGAATGACATAATGAGAAGTTTAATTGCGTTTACATTCTTATAGAAAATTATTTTTAATTTCGCGAGGTGGTGAAAGTTCTTAAAACACATGTTCATTTTCCGCCTTCAAATATTTAATTTAACTTGAAATATACGTATATGAACTTAAACCATTGTAAAGTTATCTTAAGACATCTTGATACAAAATAAATAGACGCATGACATTTAATTTCCTTCGCTTTCAGTTACCAATTTAACTTGGCTTCGTAAAGTTGTTCAATATTATCATTAATGAATTATTGACACCGTGTGTCAAATGAAGCACGTCACTATAAAGTTGTGTATTTGCTCATGTTAATATAATTTAATATGATATTTCATTAATATAATTTAATATGATATTTCATAATTTATTCTTGTTTTTCTTCAAGCTTTTTGTTAGGGTACCGTCCTTTAGCAAGCTGATGAAATTCATGTTTCTACTATTAATATATGGATTATTACTAACCTGAGACTTGTTTCCAATACTTCTACAAGTGTTACAAAATAATCCATCTTCATTGATTCTGTAGATCATCTTGTATTTTCTCTTTTCACTTTTCCTTTTGCAATATTCATTCTTTCGCCTTCATATTTCATTGTCCGGGTTTATAATCGAGTCTACCTACGCTCTTGAGAGCTCTACTAGTCATGTGGCCACGCATTCTCTTCCAACCGCTTCCATTTGTTGACACACGTTATATTATTTGTATTCGACTTTCAATTCATCTTTATCTACACACAATCGATCGGATGTTACGTATCTTTCCATAGCTTTGTCGATATAATCTTTTAATACTTTTTTAATATGACATAAGTCTCATAGTCGCCCCAATGTTTCGTTAATTCCATCGCTGGCTTCATCCACATTCATCTTTTCAAGTACATTAGCCAATTTTAATTTTGGGAGATTATAATAATTATATTTTGAGGTCCATCATCAATCATTGATATTATTTCTGGCGCCTTTCGGTTATGGATTATTAATTCAATTATTTATGGCAACGTGAGGCAACAATGTTACCTGACAGGTCTACGGCATCTTCTCTTTGTGGCTTATCAATAATCTCATAATTAATAGTTTATATAAAAATGCTTATAATTTTATTAAAAGTAAAATGAACACAATTGAGATTATTTATTATTTATTCATTTAGGTATTCTCATGGTCACAGAAAAGATTCAGAACAGGTTAAGTAAAGACTGAAGTATATTTAAACAATTAATAACGGTGTGACTAGTAAAGATGTGAAATAATAATAATTGTCAAGACAATACAACTATTTAAAATGAATTAATTAAAGTAGATGTATGTAAGATAATCAGAGTCCATTGAATGAAAATTGTAGATATCCGAAGTAACCAGAAATATTAATAAGAATTGAATAAGACATTTCTTAACGAGGAAGAAATCTTAAAAAAAAGATTTCATAGGATTATGGTATTAGGTCTTCTCTTGCTGTGTGCGTACCGTACGTAAGAAATTATTTTGATTGATAATGAAGGAACAAAATAACTGTGAGGTTGAATATTAGTAGGTAATTATCTTTTTTCTTTTATTAACTGCAACTTTTAGTAAATACTTACCATAAAACACTTTGTTAAATTACCGCCCGATATTTTAAAACTCAAACGCAAGAAAAACATCTCGTGTTTATTTTTGAAAGGGTATATTTTATTATCGCGACCATTTGTCCCATTGGAAGGTATTCTAGCGTTAACATATTCAGTTCTTCATAAGATGAAAATAAAGAACCAATAAGTGGCGCATGCGCAAACGAGATTTCATAAGATACCTACGTTACTTTTATTAATTTAAATTCAAATACTAATACTCAATTTAAATGCAAGATTTATATTTTCACGAATGATTCCGATATAATAACCATTCGATTTTACCTGAGTATCAAACTAAATGTTTGATTTGCAAAGTTTTTTCCGTGGAGATTCAATGAATTGCAAACGAATGGTTAATACTCATCACAGCCGTTGCTCGATGACAGGTGAATTAATAAATTAATGTTAAGCATTACAGGACAGAAATAAGTAAAATGATTAAAAATGGCCAGGTCAGACTAGTTTCTGAGAATCACATACAAGAAAAGGTCATGCCTAGCGGTCACAATCGCATTTACTAGACCAACCAATGAAGTTATTAACGACAAATAAAAACAGGCGACCATTGAAAGCACGAGCTACAAATAAACGAAGATACACAATCTGGCAATAAAATGTTTCAGTTTCACTATGCGTATGTACGCCCAGACAACAGATATAAATTAAATAATAATTAAAACGTCAAGTCGTCCGTCCGTAATGTACGACGCGGCACGTTCATTAACAAGACTTTTTCCACATATGTATTTTTATTCGGTCTTTTTTTAATTGATCTCTCATTCAGCTGATTGTCCTTAATGGATTTACTTACAACCTCGTTTATTTAATTATGTTCGTATTTAAATTGGTAAATAGGTTGCGTTACGATCACTGGTTGCTTCTGATTTAAGGTGACATCATCGGTACGCCTTTTCATGTTGCGTATGGAAGGACCAAGTTATTTTCTGAATTTGCGTATTTGGTTTTTTTATGTAATAGACCAGCAAACGAGCATACGGATTACGATTACGGATTAGTGTTTTGGAGATTAAGGGATTGGGGAAGGATTGGGCCTCCGGTAACCTCACTCACACGGCGAAAGACAACGCTGTGTTTCACGCCGGTTTTCTGTGAGGCCGTGTTATCACTCCGGTGGAGCCGACCCATTCGTGACGAAGCATGGCTCTCCCACACTTAAAATTGATGAATTGGTTGATTGGTTCAAGTAATTTCTAAGCATCATATTGTTTTGCTGATTTATTTTACTTATGATGGCTATCTTTTTTAGTTATATTGTAACTAAAAACAGTCGGGTAAAAAATCTAGAACCCACAAACACGTTTAATAATAAAGATGATTTCATAAAACAAAATGCTTCATATCATAAGCGTTATTTTATCAATTGTATCTACTGATATGTTTTGTAATCTGAGGTTCGTTACACATATAACTAATCATGTTTGCTCATCGTCGCCGTGGGTACCGTCCGATGCATTGTCGGAATATAAAACTGTGTTTATTTTTATATCTGACGGTTTTACATTGATTGGCATTCCGTTTGCATTTAATTAAGAAATAGTAGGTGAGCGATTACGTACTTCTACAAAAGATTTGAGAGTAATACAAAGCGCGAAGTTTGACGTTATTTTTAACTTGTTTTAGAAAACATTTTTATTTTATTTTACTCCTCTGTGCTCCATTGCTTGAAAGAAGTTTCAACTTTTTATTGATCTCAATAGAAATAGTTTAGATGGTAGATATAAGGTATTTGTGGGATACTAAATCTTAAATTATACCAGATTATACATATAGGGTTTTATTAATGGAGCATTAATTTGTCACTTGCCTGTTAAAAGACAGCAGAATGAAAACTTGGAATGTAAAATAATGGAGGACAATTCACTAAGATGCGCTGATGTATAATATATAAACCTATGTGAGTGCTAAATACACTTGATGAAACAAATTGAATCGTAGGTAATCAATTCGGTTCTCACCGACATCTTCATATTATTCTTCGGTTTCTAGATTTTAATGATTTCCTTAAAGTTTTTCAAAACGGTATGTAAACAGTTAACAACTTCAAAGAAATAATGACTCATTAAGTGATTTCCGCTTAACGGAGATAGTTGAAAAATATCCTTTCACAAAAGGTATTAAGAGTGATAATAGTACGTATCTTGAATATTTTCATACTAGTTGAAGAAACATCAGTTTTGAATTTATACTTTCACGCTATAATTTTGGTACATTACCTAAATTATGTCTGTTTTTCCAAGAAAAGTATGGGCAATTGGAATGGATGTAAAAACAAATACTTTTTTAAAGTAACAATCACTTAAAAATATTTATGTATCTCTTTTTAATCTGTTGACTAAGAATATGATAATCTAATAAGAGAAAAAACTCCTTGTATCGCATTGAAACTTTAGATTTTATAACTACAAAAATTACAGAATCAGTTAACATTTATTCGACCTCTACAAACATCCTATAAACCTGAGACCAGTTAAGTCCATTTTCGTTTAAAATAAGCCATTACGACCGTATCCCTTACAATCCTAGTTTCTCCTTTCTTGTGGAAACCTTTAAGTGGCAACTGTCATGTTTTTCAGCGAAAATGAGTTAACGTGTGAGCTAGGTGCTCATTTTATGTCTGTTTAAGGAGTGAAGGACCATATATGGAACGATTCAGGTTAATAATATCCTACTTTTATCAGCCAATCAACATTTTGAAACGAATTTATTTGTTTTTCATTTTGAAATAAATAAGGAGTATCTATGAAATATAACAACCAAAATCAGACGTCCATTCTATTAAAATAATCAGTACGAATTATTATACTAAATTATATTTATTAAATACAACGATATTTCGAAACACTGGAAGAGAACCCATGGATTAAAGCCGTTAATGATAATCAGAATCTACATTATTAAATGTATAGAATTTTGCAATATAACATTCGAAGGACCAACTCTTTTAAAGCTAGAAGGACCAAACAAAATTTTGTTAGAACCTAACTTATTTACGCAATCCATTCATTCAGGAGAAATAGTAGGTATAGTATAGATCGTCTGCACGAGTAATTACGTGTGCCGTTGCCCTCTCATGCTAATTCCCCGAACATTCCAACATTACC